ATCCATATGGCATTTGCCAGATGCATCATTTCCTTATGCTCTGCTGGTCGTTGGGATGTTGCAGCACCACAGTGCTTAGGTGTTACTCTGACCTTTTAATGACACTCTGTGCTGTACACGGTGTTGTCTTCACACTCATTTGTTTCAGCCTGTCAAACCCCCACAGGAAGAAGCTGGAAGAAGCAAAGCTTTTGAGACTTGGGTCTAATGCACTTGGTTTCTCCTTCTGAAAAGTAAATATTTGTATAATAATCTGCAGAACCCCTAAAGCAGCTGTGAAATGATCTAGGCATGAGATCTTGTGAGCAGATCCAGGATGTAGGAAAACAGCCAGCAAGATTTTGTTTACTCTGCTTTGAGAAAACGACAACTGAAATTACAGATAAAACATCTGTCTGAGAGGAGACTGTCAAGTGGGAAATGTAGTGGTAGAGCCTATACTGTACCTGTTGTGCTGGTGGTAAGGGTGACAAGAGCTGGGGAACTATCTCCCATGAACAGCTCGTTCCTGAGACCTGTGCTGTGCTCCTGTGTTTACTCAAACTCAGCTCTCCATAGTTTGCAGAATCTGGCCTTTTCTCAGCCTTGACCCTGCCCTTGGATGCCTCCCATGGTTTCTGACTTCCAGCTACTTTTTCTATGCTATTTATAGCACACCAGCTGGGGAACATTATTGTGCATCTCTGTTGAATTTCTATTTTAAAGAGTGACTTTGGTTTTTATTTACATTCATGTTAATTCAATAAGTTGTTTGGCATCATTTGGACTTTTCTAGTCAGGTTCCCTTTACACTGCATTTATCACATTGCTTCCTCCAGTTTTGTTTTTCTTTCTCCTGCCATAACTGATTCTCTCTGTCCTCCAGCTTTCCATTAGCTATCTCCTTTGTTTGGAAAAAAGTAACCCAGAGTATATTCTTTCTTTCTTAAAAGCATAATTTGTTACCAGGAAATAAGCATAGAGATCAGTTGGAAAGTAGACCTCAAGTCTCAGTATGCTCATCTGATTTTTTGTGACCTGTTTCTTGTAGATGCAGGTATCTTGTTTCAACACCTTGATCATTGTGCTCTTTGCACATTCCCAGTTCATTTCCAAGTAAGTGTTCTGCTTTGTTTCACGTGTCTTCGTCTTCTGTGCTTTCAGCTGCCCTTTCAGATATGACCTTTCAGTTACATCAGATTTTATCTCTTGGATATTCCAACTTCTCGGGCATAAGCTCCTGTATTGCAGGTCCAGACTGTGAATACTGGATGTGTGTAGATGGGGAAATACTCAAAGGAGTAGATGATATACAAAGGGAGTGAAGAATTTAGACTCTAGCTCAGTTATTAACTTATTTTTTATGCTTAGCAATAAAAGCAAAAGAATAATACAGTACATCCATATAATGTTAATAACTTTATGTCATTATTATCTCAGATGTTATTGTGCTCTTATTAAAGGGTATATGTTTCTACTGTGACGTGAGGCAACACAATAGAATCCACATTCAGTTCTTATTTTATAAAGCCTGTGGAGAGCACATAACACCTCTCTGCACAGATAAATGCATTCAGGAAGCATTTAAGTGTTTGACTAGCAGATTTGCTTGTACCATGCACAGACAGCTTCCTGTTTGTACAGAAATAAAACTCAGCGATGCATTTGCCCAGATATAGAAAGTCACAGGAGAATATTTAACTTCTGTGACTGTCCTTCTTCTACAGCTGAAAATTGGTATTTAAAGAAAATATTTTCCTTCATTCAGTTTATAACTAATTTTGAAACCCTCATTTGTAGTTCTTTTACTGATCCAAAAAATCTGCCACCAGCAACTGCAGGCACTGAAATGAAGGTTGCTTACAGGGTGCCTGCTCAGATCTTCTCTGGGGACTTCCAAATGCCCTGCAAATTTGTTTTCATTTGAGATACTCATAAATTATACTGATGATCATTACTGTTTCCCTTACTGTCCATTTCATAGGTTTTAAGCATTTTTGACTATTATTCAATGGAAATGTTGGAGTAATAAAAAAATTAGAATGGTACATACCTGAAGCTCCGAGTTTTTTGCACAGCTTCACAGCCTCCTATACATGTATTTCTGCAGAAATTAAATGCAGGGCTTTGAGGGTAACCCATATATACCTCTCAGATATGGCAGCACTGGACACAGATAACACTTTATGCATACAACAAGGGTATTTGGCCAAGTCAATACTGGTTCAGTCAATTGAAATGGTATGGTTAAGTTGTTGGTAATTTGGTGGTTGAATATAATACCAAATACATGCTTCAGAGTGGGAAGAGTCAAAGGTTTGAATTTTCTTTAGATGTGTTATAGTACAATGCTTGTGCCTTGCTTCTTTCCAAAATAGCATATTAAAATTCTGCTTTGCCTCTTTAATCTACTATTGTTCAAAATGTTAAAAATACACTAAAATCTGGGCTATAGACAGAAAGCACTATAGGTTACGTTTATACCAGCAAGTAGGGAAGATTTTGGAACAGACAGGTAAAATATTTGGTATGAGCGTTCATATCATACAACTTCTGTGGGTTTTGCTTTGGGTTGCCTGTGGGCCACCTGGACTGAGCTACCCTGTGCATTTGGAGTTCACCAGGAGTGTGCTTGGAGTTACTTTCTGATTTTAACCAAAGAAAACTCTTTATGCTCTTTGAGACTTTCCTGTGAAGTTAATCAAATCATGGGAAATGTGAACAAAATATCTTCTTAAAACACTATTAGTAGACATGATCTTAGGTTAAGTTGCAGAAATTAACTGGACAGTCTTGTAGAATAAATCATCATAGACTATTCCTGATGCAGTTTGGCCTATTTTCTATCAAATAATATCTTATTATTAAGTGCCTTGACAAGAAACTCTTACCTTTGTGAATTTAAATAACTGTTTTGTAGAAGATGTAAAATTTGCAGGTTTTGTTCCATCCCATCCCTCAGACTAAGCTTTAAATATTAACTTTCCTTGTGCATTAGGAATGACATGTGAAGTGTTTCCCTTCAGCTATGAAAAACATTCGTGAGTCTTCTTCAAAGTTTGTGGAATACATAAAGTCCTGTCAGCAGTAATCCCTGGGCCATCAGTCTTCCAACCCTAGGTAAATACAAACTTGCACAGTTATTATGTCTGTATTAAGACATTATTAGGTCTTGACTGCAGTTGGCAGATACTGGCACATAGTGGTCTGTATGGCTAACTTGTACCATTCCCTGGCCTTTCCTGTCACCTGAACTGTGCTACACCTTGTCTAGGGGAGCCAAACCCACGGTAAGAATGTCATTGCTACTCCCTGGCCTTGTTAATGGTGTCTGTACAAGTAAACAAAGAAGGACCAGGGAACAGGATCCCAGCACCACAACTGTCCCAACCAGTGGGTGGGATGATTGGATGACTCACCCAGTGGGTGAGAGAAAGGGCATGGACACGTCTACCTGGACTTCACTAAAGCCTTTGGTGCTGTCTCCACAGCATTCTTTCCGAGAAGCTGGCAGGTGCACTTGTCACTGGGTTAAGAACTGGCCAGATGGCCAGGCCTGGAGAGTGGTGGTGAATGGAGTTACATCCAGCTGGTAGACCTGTCACAAGTGTGTTCCCCCAGGGCTCAGCACTGGGCCAGTTCTGTGTAATGCCTTTATCGATGATCTGAATGAGGGGATCAAAGGCACTCTCAGTCAGCTTGCAGATGACACCAAGATGGGTGGGAGTGACACCAAGATGGGTGGGTGTGTTAATCTGCTGGAGGGTGGGAAGGCTGTACAGAGGGATCTGGACAGGCTGGATTGGTGGACTGGGGCCAGAGGTATGAGATTCAGTAAGTTGAAGTGGCAGGTTCTGCACTTAGGTCACAACAACACTCTGCACAGCTACAGGCTGGGGGAAGAGCGGCTGGAAAGCTGCCCAGTGGAAAAGGACCTGGGGATGCTGGTTGACAGCTGATGTAACATGAGCCAGCATGTGCCCAGGTGGCCAAGAAGGCCAGTGGCATTCTGGCTTGTATCAGAAACTGTAACCATCAGGGCAGTGATTGTCCCCCTGTACTTGGCTCTGATGAGGCCACACCTGGAGCTCTGTGTTCAGTTTTGAGCCCCTCACTGTAAGAATGACACTGAGGAGGGCAACAGATCTGGCAATGGAAGGTTCACGTCTGGCAACTGGAGTACATGTCTTATCAGGAGCGGCTGAGGGAGCTGGGGGTGTTTAGTCTAGAGAAAAGGATCACTGTAACCACCATTTTAAGGTGTATTGGCCTCAGCACAGACTCTGATGCATGGGGCAGGCATGGTCCAGAAATGGATGTGAGCAGAGGAGCACAAAGCTGGGACATGGGGAAATGTAAATGCACAGAATGTTCCTTTGACTGGAAGTGCTACTACAATGTACCACAAGAAATTACTATCCAGGAACAGGCCAGAATTATTGACTACAACATTCAAACCTGCCAGGGAGCTACATTTTCCAGCCAACAGTTCCTTTGCAAGGAGGGCAGTTGGGTCAGGACAAGGGAGTACATATGCTTGCCCCTGCATCAGCAGTGATAATCTCTTCTTTCTTCTTCCTTTGGCTGCAAGCTTCTGTGTTAGCAGACCTTAATCTTTTCTAGATTTTATTATAGCTCCCTCAATGGCTGTACCTCAGGGCATGGAAAATACTCATCTGAACAACTGAGTATTTATTTGGTAGAACAACATCTCCTTCCAGTGTGGTGTCTGTCTTTTCCCTCTTATCTCAGAAAGAAAGACATCAGAAAAATCCAGGAACATAAATGTGATCGAAATGTCCCAGACCTGCTGGGAAAAATAAATATAATTCCTGACTCTGTTTGATATAGATCTATCACTCTAGAAGTTTGAGTTTGATGAACTCCTAAGTTCCATCATCCTTAAAGTGTGTTGCTCAGTTCCCCAGAGCTGACAGAAAATGGACAGAACATGAAGTGTGTTGAAAAGCTAGCAGAGCATGTGGACTTCTCCAAAAGAACATGAAGTGCCTCATACTCACTCCTTCAAAGGGAGAAAACTGTCCTCTTTCTTAATCATGCCACATTCTGGACTTGCTGGAGGTTTCCTGGAAAGCAAGAAAGTAAGATCTCTAGTTCTGTTTGTTCATAAAAGTGGTCATTATGCAACATTCTGGCAATAGCATTTATAACCCATTTCTTTAAAATTTTTCTCTCCATGCTGTTTTCTCTGTTATCCTTTCTTTGGCTCTTTTACTTTACCTCATCCTCCAAAATGAGGACATACAGTTCTTAGTTTCCTTTTATTTATTTATGTTCTCTGCATGAGAAGTGTGACTGTTATTTCAATTTGTTTTTCTGACAAGCTAAAATAGTGTTTCTGTATGTCATCACTGCTATGCATTAAAGTAATTGTTTGTATTAAAATAATTTTCTTCTATTTTATGCTTTGATTTGTATTTCAGATCTAACGCTAGAGACTGCTTTTATCTCATTATCTAAGATTCAGTCAAAATTTAACTGAGATTAGTTACTTTGGAGTTTTCCCCCTCCATTTTCTCCTTTCATTTAGCTCAGTACATGCCCCACAGCTGACTTGTGGCATCTGTTATTCCTGTCTTCTGCTGTATCTGAACAGAGGTGACAACTCCCCACAAATGGTACTACTTTATTTTATAAGGGACCATGTTCCAGACTGAACCAAATTTTTCATTTTCTTTTCACATCTGCCTGATGCTAAAAGTTGATTCACAAAGCTCTATAGGTAACTCCCAGGACTATCAATATGAGGTGCAGCCATCCTGCAAGATTTCTTTACTATTTTAATTATTTGTCTGTAGCAAAAGAAATGGTTCTTTGTAAAGCCCTCATCAGGTCCAAGTTGTTGATCACTTTGGCTGAGATGTTGGTGCATCAGCTCTGGGTTTGGGACTGATTCACTGAATCAAGCCTTCTTGATAAAATCTTTGGGAGAAGTGTCAGGCCAATTTACAATCAATTGCTACAGACAGTAGAAACATCTGCTTCCCATCCTCTTCCTTTCATTCACCGTTAGAGACAATTTTGGCTAAAGTGGAAGAAATTGTAGGATGCCCATTAACATCAGTTACTTTATTTAGCATCTGCGTTTTAGTCCTCTTTCATTTGTTTCTAAACTCATCTTCATCTGCTGAGCCAAGAACAAATGACAAAAAGTACAAAATCTGGTGAGGCAGTGAAGATCGACAAGATGACTGCAGGGGACAAGAAAATGAACCAATTTCAGTGAGATTTTCAGTTGACATCAGAAAAGCCTCCAAGATTGTCAGTGCACCACTTAGAATAAAAATATGTTGTAATTATATTAAAAAAAAAAAGAGGCATTTTAATTTTCTGTGGTATCTAAGCAAGTGGTGATCAGTGTTCAGCTCAGTTGCCCACATACAGGTGTGTAGAGGCATCTGAGATGCCTGGTGACCGTGAGCTCCCTTGGCTCCAGAAGGGCATGGGTATACCATGGGTCCTCCCAGCCTTGTGCAGGTGCCTTGGGTGTCCAGGAGCATCACAAATCTCATGACAAGAAGACTATGGGGCAGGTGAATTGAGTGTTGAGATTCACTGTTGGTGCCTTGGGACAGAGATAACATTAGTTTGCCTGACCACCTGATGACAACACACTACAGATGGGATGTCCAGGCACAGATTTTATATATAATTCTTAATTATACTCAATTTTCATAAAAGTTTTTATTTTCAAGGTGGGGTTTAGTCCTAGTCTCACGGTGATTTTGCCAACTTGCTGGACCGTGAGATGTCATCTGGATTCCCTGGGTTCTCCTTGCCCTATCTTCCCCATATTTCTAGCCAGGACCTGTCCTCTGCCCTGGGGCATGTTAAGGTGTAGAGTCTGGAAGAGAACAGGGCATGCTACTCCCATCACATCTGTGTATGATGTGTGTAGCTACAGATTTAGCTAGCTCCTAAATTTAGACTAGGAAAAAAGTAATTAGGCATGGAGTCAGGGATTTTTTTCCCCCTGACATTAGAAGACTCAGTGTGACACTGGTGCTGCTCAGGAGCACTTTGGCCCAGAGATTGTCAAAGTCACCCATAGTATTCAGACAAAGGTGTCCTAAAGGCTACAAAACCTGACAGTGCCAACATCCTCCTGTGCATAATGGAGCACAGTCCCTCCCCCAGGAGTTGCTCTGTGACAGAGGTCACCAGCACCTCCCTGATGAATGTGGTGGGTTTTTTTGAGAAGATACCCTCACTGTCTTCATTTTCCTTATCAATTATAAATTAACTAATAGTAGGGATATTAGGGAGGATCAGCCCCTATCCTAGGACAAACGGAAAGAGTGACTCTTTTACTTGCAATAGGAAGTGAAAATATGAGAAATTAGTGCTTCCTTTCTCTGTTGAAAGCATCCAAGGTTTAAGCACCATCTATTCTGTGTTCCTGCATCCTGAAAAGATAAAAAAGGGATTCTCAAACAAGGCACAAAACCTTCATTATTAAGCAAATCCTTCTCCTTTTTCCGACTGAGTATAAAAGGTGAGTTCCTTCCACAATTGCATTATATAAGGACAATTACTCAATACCTTGAAAGAAATCTCTTGACTCTTTGCACTGAATGTGATCCTTTTTCAAAGCTCATGTCAATACTGGCCTATGACATTTGAAATTGTTGGCATTCTTTCCAAGGAGGTCTAGCTCTATGAATGATTTCTTGTAATAACAACCAGAAATAGCTACATTTTCTTTGAAGTTAACACAGAACCCCCTAAACTGCACAGTGAAATTCTCCCATGAAAATATTTAACTAACAAGTGTCCACATTTTCAGCTGGAGACCAATGTATACACTTTTTAGGCTATTTTCTAGACCACACATTTTTATTATTGATCAAGAGTTAGCATCTAGGTTTATTTTAATCTTTCACATAAATAGGCTAAAAGCTCTAGATCATTAGTTCTTTCTGCTTTTATTTGCTGGAAAATATTTCACACCACTTTTAGAGATTAGGATTTGGTAACACTTTATTCTAGCTGTCCTATTGTTTTAATTTATGTGGTTTTAGGAATAACAGAGATCATAACAAAACTCTTTTGGTATTAAAGAGGGTGGTATGTGCACACAGATGCAGTCAGTGAAAGACATTTCTTTTATTTTTCTTTAGAATCTATTACATTGATTCTAAAGACTCAGGCAGCAAATGAATCTGAAAATGTTTATCTTTTGGTGAACAGTCAAATTAGTCATTTCAAAACTGCACTATAACAAGCTTTTTATTTTAAAAGATGGGAGGATGTTTGAGGTCTAAGGGTAAATATAATGTCAGTACACTGATTCTTAAGCTTTCTTGAGAAATATAAGCCACACACAAGTATCAAGTGACTTGTCATTGTCTTTACCCTCCACATGAAGACCTCCAGTCTTCATGTAGGCTGGCAATGACTCTGCAGTCTGTATCTGAGACTCCACTGTAAGTCTAAAACAGCAAAAAGATGGAACTTGGGATAGTTGGATTTTTAGAAGAGTTGAAGATAGATTTTTCAAAGAAGGCTGTAAGAATGAGATGCTCAGTTTTCCATGAGTTTCAGCGATATCTGCCATGAGCCAAGAGTATCTGTTCTCAGCAGGTCTTCAGGAGGTTTATAAAGCCTCCTCTTTTGCTGAGGACGTACCTTATCACCAGTATCTGTTCATCAGACAGGAGGAAAGGAACAGAGGAAAGTGTTCTTGTCTAAATGAGAAAGTTAAGGGGAGGAAGTCTGCTCTGAGGTTAAATACTAGAGGAGTTCTGAAACTCAGGCCAAAAAAGAGGGGCAAAAAAAGAAAGAAAAACTGACTATAAATATCACAGGAATCCTTGTCTAAGCAACCTATTACATAACCATGAATCCTGGGAATGAATAGTGAGCAAGTACAGTGTGCTGCTAAAGCACTGAAATCAGCCTGAGTATAAAGAGTAACCTACTTTCATTTTGTTATTTTATTACGTCCAGGTGTAAAGTTGTTGTCCTTGACACCAGATACTGAGTTTAAAGTGATTTGTACTGCATTTACCTGGACTTCCACGGGTGAATGGCAGTTCACAGGAACTGAGGGAATTTCTCCAGAAATCATTGCTTACATAATAATGGATCACCATAACTCGAGTTCTAGCCCTGATATATTTTTTAAATTGTGATGACCCAGGGATTGATATAACATATTTTCTGGGTCTGTGAATTTCGGGGATGGTAACTTACTGCTGGAGGGCAACAGGAGTCACCTGGGATGTACCTGCATGGTGTCAGACTCTCTGGGAGACAGAAGCTGGTTGCTCCCAGAATGACCTTGAGTACAAGTTCTCAATCTGGAAGCAACTGTGGTTTTTCCCCTGTCCTATCTGAGGGATGTAGACTCTCTGCAAGATCACTTAAGCTGATCTGACTTAATTGGTTCTCTGCCACTGTGAGTGTTTGGGTGTCTCCTGTTATCTCTGTACCATGCCTTTACTCTACAGTTGATTTCATGTGTCAAGTAGGTCAAGTTTTTAGCAGAAGACACTATACAAGAAGTCAGCCTTGACTAGTTTCTTCTAGCCTAAAACCCCATGAAATTTTATGAGATATCAAAGGTAAATTAAATGATAAGTGGCAGATTTAGCACCTTTGACTCCTTCTGGAGTCTTCATCTCCTCTATGAAACAGGACAATGTTCAAATATAACTCAGTATCATGTAGCACAGGAATTCACTGTGGATTAAAACTTAACCATTTTAATAGAAACTTTTCCTCTTAGCCATGTGTTAGTTATCCTTGGAGAAAGGTGGTTGGAATGGGCATGAGACGCATCACTGCTCATGCATGTGATCAGCAACAACAAATAAATGCACGTTCCTGAGCCACATTTAGGCAGCTAAATAAGTGGCTTCACTTCGAGCTGTGCTGCACACTTGAAGACGTGCCCAGTAGTGTAGGACCCACAACAGATGCTGATTATTATTGACATTTGCTTTTAGCCAAACACAAGCCGCCCAGCTGACAGCTGCACTGGCAATTTGCTCTTAGCCTCAGAGAGGTCATGGAGCCATGTAACATGTACTCACCACCATTTTTCTTGATCTGGCACACAGCC